ACGCCGAAGGCGCGTCCAAGTCTCACAACGTCACTTTTGTCAGATTCCCAACTAATGTTGAAGCTTTTCAATCGCTGCATCAGCGTTTCAAGAAAGCCGCCTAGTCTTCGGCATCCGCAGTGTTGCAAAAGCAACATACCATTGTACAGTTCTACGTTATGCATCATTTATAAGGCAACGGAACGGTAGGTCAACACCTGCAGCATTACGGTTTGTCGAAGGATAGTTAGTACTTGGACTACCTTTCCCCTACCTGAGTGTAGCCCGCGCTGCCTGCATTACGGGTCGCTGCCTGCATTACGGGCATCAGATTCGCCATGTTCCATCGAGGATAAGGGTGTTCCCATCTTTTGTCTTCTGCATTAGATGGGCTTCGTTAAGGGCTTCACAAGGCGGGCTTTCGGGTTTGGGGTTAGGGTTGAGGGTTCAGCCTTTAGGGTTTAGGGTGTCTTGCTTCTCCTAGAAAATGCAGACAACCGGGTCCTTGTTGGGTCGAGGGGACAGCAAAGGGACCCCCCAAGATCTATGGGAGTTTCCAAAAATTGGAGGACCACCTTTTGGGGTTCTGAGAATAAGGATCCTACTGTTTAGGATAGTATATGAGGGTCCCCTATTTTCGGACACCCCCGTATAGAGACGCACCAGGGCTCCAGTTAGTTGGATAGTAGGTTATTTGCAATGCACATAATTTTGTAACCCAGTGGCAGATTGTTGAGGCAATCAGATCCTTAAATGCCAGAGAAGTCCGCCAACAAAAACTACACCCTGCAACCTCCCGGAAGAATATGTTTTTCTTTCCTAGTATTATCACACTGTACTGATGTTTCACTTGATAGTAAGTTCTTCCTTGCCAATCCCATGGCCCATGATAGTAAGTTCTTCCATGCCAATCCCATGATGCTGACATGGAGGTGGACTTCTTAAAGGTTTCCCACCGAAGGTGCGGCCCCTAGAGCATGAAGAGTTAAGTGCGTGGGGCCCCTGGGCGTCTGAAGGTTTTGGGCTTTGGAGCGAGGGTTCCGGGTTCCTGCAGGGATCCGTAGGTTGACTTTCAAGAGGCAGTGGATGAGTGAGATTCAAGATGATGCTAATTTTTGCTTTTCCGGGTTCAGTGTGCCAGCTTCGCCAGCGCGTACCAGTGGGAAATCGAGGTTTATGCACCGTTTCTGTGTCGTGTCGTTTCATGACGCGTTTCACAATTGGCCAGCGAAGTGCTGTTGCCTGTCAGGTTTACCTAATCGACCAAAGTGTTATATGGACCATAATGTCTTACTTATGATTCGGGTCGTTGCCAAGTTGCACAGATCCCCGACTACTCCGGCAAACTTCAACATATCCCAACACCCTCTAATTATTCTGGTCCCAGAACTAGACCCTGCAATTAAGCAGGCAACAGATGTAAGCAACGTATAGACACCCCACTCGAATTTTCAAGGCCCGTATATGGATGAGGTCGTCTCTACACTCTTGCTGAGGCCTTCAGTCAGTGACAAACTGAGTGACAAAGACAATCCTAGCGTTTCTGGCCGCTGCAAGGGCAACACATGGGTAGTTCTGTAATTTAGGGTCGCTGTAGGGGTCCTTTTTTTATATCAGAGTGCCGTACCATTAATATATATTGGGGACCCAAGAGGGGACCCCAATTTAGAGAACTACCCAAAAGTTCTTGGGAGCGAGTTCTGATAGCTTCAGGGTGTGGTCCTGGGGTTGGGTGCACAAGTTCAGGAGCTGTAAAATCTGTGGGTTTTAGACCCTAAACCCTATAAACTTTAAGGTCTCCTTTAAAGGAACCCTAAACCCTAAACCCTGTAAAAAGTTTTTATACCCGAAACCCCAGCCCAAGCGCTGCAAACCCTGTAACTAGTCCGCAGACTCTAAGTCCAAAGCGTAAAGCACCTCGTACCCTGCGCCCAAAAAGCCCTCCAGACACTAAACGTTTAACTCTAAACTGAGAACCTTAAGCCTTGAACCCTACAAACCCTAAGCCCCCAAAGCAGCACCCGCAAGACCTAACGCTTGCTTCGTCTGGCTTGCCAGTCTGCCCACGAATTCGCCCTAAGCACTGCAGTACACGATGAGCAATGATGAGGACCTCTGTATCGAAGCAGTAGAGTAGGTAACCTGTAACCGTTTTGGGGCACTATAATCCCACAGGTTAAACCTTTAGTTCCCCCATCATGATAGTGGACAAGTAGGGTATCTTTTGGGGGGCCCTGGTTTTGAGGGCCCTAAAAAAGCCCTAAAAAGCCCCCAAGAGCTGGATTTCTTGGGTTCAGAGAATAATCCTAGGTAGTATTAGGGAGACCCCTTAAAGGGGACCCTTCTGAACCCTACTTGTGGCTCTCTTAAAAGGGACCGTACCGAGAGGGTCTATATCCCGAAGGGTCACTCAGAGGCCCGCTGCCCACGATCGGAGATTCTGACAGAAGATGAGCTTCGCGACCGGTCTGACGAAGAGGGCAGGGGCCCCCCCTTTACTAAACCCTAAACCCTAAACTCAAACCCTAAACCCTAACCTCAAATCCTAAGCCCTAACCCCAAGCCCTATAGGCCCTAAACCCTAACCCCAAGCCCTAAACCCTAAACCCTAACCCCTATACCCTAAACCCTTAGCCCTGGGTCGAGCTTTTGTTGCTTGATCGAGTTTGGGGTTGAGGCGGCTCAGCATTTTCAGTGCCTTCGGAGTTTGCAAAGGGCTACGCTCCTTTAGGGTTTAGGGTTTAGGGTTTAGGGTTGCAAAGCCCGAAAATCTCTGGCAAGGACTGGGAATTTGATTTTAGTGCCTGGGTTTTCGCTGCCATGTAGGCAATGGTAGATGGTGGTTGAGGGGTGGAGGCCGACAAGGTTTAGGGCGCAGGGTTTGAGAAGTTGTGAGACTTTTCGTATGTTGTCCTGTCACTGTTCCTGTTGAATCCGTATGTACCTTCGATCAGGGTGCTGCAGCCTGAACCCAGAAGTATATAGGCGCAGTACAGCATACTTCTACACCGAGCCCTAAACCATCTGCCCCCTAAATCCTATGCTGGACCCTAAACCCAAAGCCCAAAACCCTATACCCCTAAACCCTAAACCTTAAACCCCTTGGATCCTGTTTGACTTCAGATTTCCCCCCGAACTCCAAAGCCCACCGCGCTACAGCTTTAAGTTTCGGACTTTGAGGCTCGGGTCCCGCAACCTACGTTCAGATCCAGGCCCTCATGTCGGGGTCTGAATAGTTACCAACGCTATTTTGGGGGCTCCTTATTATATAGCCGTAGTATATTGTACCCCGAAACCCTATTCTAATTATGAAGGCTCCTATTTTGCGCCTCAAACCCCAACGACTCCGTGCGACCTATGCACCAGAAACCGAAAGCCGTGCCACGAGACTTTCTCGACCCTGAGCCTACACCCCCAAAGGCTCCATGTACCTTTATAGTAGCTACTTTGGCCTTAAAGGGGTCCCTATATAGGTACTTTAAGGCCTAAGTATCTACTATGAAGGTACATGGAGCCTTTGGGACCCAAGGTTTGAAGCCTAAAGCTCTTAAACCACAAAGCTCTAGACTAGACTCAGCGCTATAGACCCTAAACCCTAAACAAAAAAAACAACTTCAAACCCCAATCTCTAGACTCAGCCCTAAACCCCTATAAACCCTAAGCCCTATAAACCCTAAAGCTGTAGACGGCAAAAGGCCGAAACAGCGGCCTTTGCCCCCCCGGAAATCCAATCTAGGACATTTTCAGGTGGGTAGTTACCGTTATAGGAGCCTTATTATAGGAGCCTTATAGAAGCTCTATATACCGCATAGAAGGCTTATAGAAGCCCTATATACCCTAAACTCCCCACCTGTAGTTTCCTTTAATCCAAGGATACTACGCCGCCCAGTTCTCCCGATCTGGCTACTTCGGGCCCTTGAGCTGGTACCGGAATGTGGAGCGCGCCATGGCCTACGAAGTGGTTTAGGGTTTAAGGTTTAGGGAGGGTCTTGCCTGGACCCCAAAAGTCGCTTTTTAATAGGTTTTTACCTACTTTGGGGGGGGGTTTAGGTAGCGTCTGATAGAGTTTCAGGGTTTAGAGCATAAGGGTTGGAGAGTTTAAGGTTTGGGGTCTAGAGTCTTTGGAGCTTTGGGTGTAGACTTTATAGGGTTTGGGGCTTAGGGTTCCTATTTGGTGTCTTTAGGCCTTCCCCTGGAGGGTTTAGGATTACAGTGGCTTGGGGTCACAAGCTTATAGGGGCAAGGATTGAAGGCCTAGACCTTACCGCAGGATTTCTGGAAGCCACCCTAAACCCTAACCCCTACCTATAGTCTCCATTGTAGTGCCTTTTTTTGGTTTAACCAATTCTATATTAAGGATCCTAAAAGGTAACCCCAAAAAGGAAGTGCAATGGAGACTCTAGGTAAACCCTAAACCGTAGAGCGGTGGGCTGGGGACTGTTAAGCGTTCCTTGGTTGAAAGTCCGGAGTTCGATCTGCAGAGGTCGTGAGATCTTGCCTTCCGATACCCCGTTATACCTTGGGTTTAGGGTTTAGGGCCGTTTAGGGTTTTAGAGTTTAGGGTTTTAGGGTTTAGGGTTTAGGGTGGTTTTGTTTTTGTTCGGAGCTTCTTCTGTGATTAGAAGAAGAGATCAGCAAGAAAAAATCAAAGTTCAAGGATCTCCATGCCCAAGTCACTCGGGCTCCATCATATCTCGGAACCTCTGAACCCAGGACCCTGAACCATATATCATGTCCCGTAACCGCTCAAACTTGCACAAGCCTTAAATTTAAATCATATCCCGAGCCCTGGCACACGTGAGGC